CTTGCATTCGTGCATATGTCCGGGTTTGTCCAGTTGAGATTGAAGGAGCACTTTCTCGACAGCGACATAGTCACTTTCACATATCTCCACTTTCGGAAAATAACATAATAGAAAGCGCAACCCACAGCCACAAACGCACGTGGCAGAGCTCGTAGAGCACAGGCGTCCAGGTTGCGTTTACGGGGAAGCGCGAAAGCACCATATCTGACAAACGAATGGATCGCTAGGCGCGCGCCTCTCAGAGGGTTGATGAATGAACGACGGCTGTTCTTTTTCGAGTGGTGACTCGCGCCACCTAGTATCGGCTAGAGCAACTGTCTCTACTCGTACTAGAGCAACACCACCTGACTAGAGTCACGAACTAAACAAAATTGCCGCTGCTACTCTGCTCCACTAGAAACTGTGAGCAACTCTTTAGCCGCCATACTTTAGCGTCACTACCCTAAAGAGTAGCTTATTTAGTGGCTTTAGAGTGCACTAAAACAACGACGAGTCGCCAGCTTCGCACATGCTCTCGTGTGAAGCGTAGCGCATGAAAAATTGGGCGGGTCACATCGTGCCTAGGGCCTAGGGGGTCGCGACGCCGCACTTGACTGCGCTCGTGGCTATGCCTGCCCGTGCCTGCCGCTTCTAGCGTAAGCGGGCGAGCATGGGATAAATTCCCTGACTCGGCAATCTTTTTGGAAATTTCCCTCACAATTCACCGACTTTTCCAGGTGTCTTAAAATTCCCTGACATTTCCCGGTCGGTAGACACCCTGAGACACCACTGTGTAGATGGAAAACTTGTCTTTATTCTCCTTTGACCCGAAGCCCATACTGTCACCTTAACTGCGAATGGAGGTCTTTGACATCATTTTTGTTGCAAGTGCTCGCGCACACCGGTGGCTGGTGGAAAGAACATGTGCCACTTATTATGGACACTGAATTCCTTGGTTCACTATCCCTTGAACTGAATTAATGCACATATTTTACCAACCGATGGTCGCGCACCTTCAAAACGATTTCTAATTGTCACTGCGCACCTTGGACACACTTTGGGGAGCAACACCTATTTACGTCACCGCCCAAAATCTTTGTTCAACGTGTAGTGCTGACCAAAATAAAATGCTAACCTGCCTCTCAATCGCTCGCCGCAAAGTATGATTTCGAAAAGGCGGTATTGTACGTCACTTGAGATAAAACACAACCTACAGAAACTAGCATTGTAAAAAGGGGACCGACATTTTTATTTTACTTTTCAGAAATATCACGCTCCTGCTATACAACTCCAAAGCAGCAAAACCAATGACCAAACCTCTAATATTTAAAACCGCCCACACAAAGATCGGACGCCATCAGTCAGTAAATAGCAAAGCCTTCGAGTAGCATCCGGATGCACATGCGACTGTCTTGAGTTGCGACTTCTTACTGCTCGATTTTGGTATCTGCTATGTGACTCTAGATAATATGGCTCCACCCTAACACAGGCGGCGATCCAGGTACGCTGCCTCTGAGTAGGGTGCCTTGATGTACGTATGTTTCAGGGTGAAGACATACTTTGCAGTAGCTTGTGCCGACGGCACAAATCTAATTCTTACGTGTGTAAGTAAACGGTGGGAACCAAGGTTGCGCCAAAGCACTAGTAAGAGCTAGGTGCTCACACCGAGGAATGCAACTGTGCGTGCCGGCACGTGCATTCTACGAAAACTTAAAAAATTATGGGGACCAAAATGGCCAAGGTGACATTGAGATGTCATCACTCTAACAGCGCACGCGTGTGTGTGCATGAAAACACTACCTCCAAACAGATACTAGCGCCACCTACTGCATCACACAACGCAAAGGCCGGGCTCGGCCACCACGCGTAGTATCACCGACGTCAGGTGCAATGCCAACTCAGCCGATTGACCAATCATACTAAGCGTGTGCGAGAGAGGGAGAAATTTCCTTCGCCTGACAACAGCGTCACACGACTTGTTTGGAACATCTATTTCACGCAGCGAATAACACGGGCCTTTTCACACTTTGATACCGACGCCATCTAGAAGTCGCGCGTTCAACCACGTAACGAGCCGTGCGCCATCTGGTGTCTGAAACGGACAACAAATAGAGATACCGCACCCTCTTAAGGTGCCGGTTTCGCTGTGTTAAAGCGACAGTCTCGCTGTGTTAAAGCCCGACGACCAAACCTGATACTTTGCAAGGCTTTCTTCCTTTCACGTCTTCGAGCCAGGGAAGCGAAGGATGGATAGACGGGACTAAAGAAGTTGGGCACAAGTCCATGCGCGCCGTTCGGCTCGTGAGGAGATTTATTGTGCGAGCAAGTGAACTGGGATAAGCCAGCAAAAAGGGTGCCTCCCCAATGGACACGTCCCAATCTGTGCGTTGGAGGATTAGCAAAGGAACTTTCCAGAACTAAAGTCCAGGACCAGGAAACGAGAACCAAGTCCGTTTTTCATACTGCGCAGTATGTTTTCGCTGGGTGCTTCATTTATCAGTGCAATTTTTAATCAATGTGGATTGATGCCTTTCTTTAAGTAACTGCTGCCCGTCGGAAGCGTGGATAGGAATGCATTGGTATGAAAATTTGAGGGCCACAAGAAAGGAAGAGTGAAGAAGCTTCTTTGCACAATCTTCAGGGCGAATGATAAGCTGCAGATAAGGTACAACGTGTAGAGTGACAATATAACTATTTAACAAGGGAATCGCCATCTTGAAATATCATCCTTTCCAGTATGGGCAAAAGCACTGTTTTGCCGTCGCCTCAAAAATATAATACATTTAGGATATAAGCGTAACCGTTGCCCATTCTCGTTTTGTCACCCCTTTATTTTTTTTACTAGTTGCAGGTTGAAGCGTTTTATTACTTTTTCATCGCCCATCCCAAATATGCTTACCAAGTGGCTGGGCATCCGTTCGCTCACAGGCCACTGCATCTAGGAAGCGGGATCTAACTCTCCTTCTAGGGAGGCAGTGGCTCATTTCGCTTGAACACGCAATCACGTGTTTTCATACTCAACTTTCGAACCGGTGTCTGTGTGGGGCTGCACATGAGCAGATGATATTTTACAAAATTGTGGATATCTCTTTGATAAAACGAACTGAAGCACCAAAACACGAAGAATGGCTTCCAATCGCATTTAGCAAAGTCACCCCCCTTTCCTCTTCCCCCCCCCCCCCCCCCAAAAAAAAAGAAGAAAAACTGCAAGGGGAACATATAAATAAATACCAGTGCAGGGCAAGCTGACCAAAAACCTGCAACCTGCAATGATGCCAACGGCATTGTAAGTCAGACTCAACGCCACTTGTCAAGCATGTTAAGGTAACTCTTTTGTATCGTAATCATTTTTTTTTTTCTAGTTGAAGTCTGTGGCTTACAGGGGCAGATCCAGGGGGGGGGGGGGGGGGGGGGTGACGGGGGCAACCGCCCCCCTTTCCCAAACAAAGTCGACCCTCCCCCCCCCCTACTCCCTTCTCGGAGGGCAATTTGACCATGGCTGGATCCCCCCGAAATAAGACCGACGGCCTCCCAGGTGGTTGAAGGCTTGGTACTCAAGGACGAGGGTTCAAAATAGGGTAAGTCGCACCCTAGCAGGCACACTTGTACTCTGAACTTGGAGAAGCACTCCGTTGCTTCAACCGAGACTGAAGTCCACGGCGGCGGTTTCAAAGCACGACTTGGAGCCAATAAGTCGGTGCAGCGGCGCACATCTAGGGGCCGTCGGTGCAGTGTGGTTCTGCGGCGGCCAAAAAAGGCGCAACCGGAGTCCTGTTATGCTACTTTCAATTTTTCCCGCACCCCCCCACCCAAAAAAAAAAAAAAAATTCTGCCCCCCTCCTCCCTTTTCTTTCCATCCCGGTGTTCTGGATCCACGCCTGGTGGCTTAGTTGTTGTGGGCTTGGCGGAGCAGGGATAGGGCACTGGGGTAGAGGATGAGGGGGGAGGAAGCAGGCAATGGTGGAAAGGGTAGGAGAGGAGGAAGCGGGGAAGGGGGGGGGGGGAGGAAGTGGAAAGCACGAAATGATTGTCGGCCTTTAAAGTGACCTAAACGTCGGAAGTTTCGAGTGGTCTGAATAAAGCATCAGAAGTCCCTGGTCTCCACATTCAAGCGTCGGAAGATGCCATCACTTGGCCCAAACGTTGGGAAGAGACACCTAGTCACCACCGAACCGTACCACCCGCCGTGCACCATTCCCTCCCCCGCACCACAAGAACTTCAAGCGCCCGCCAACAAGTCTAAGTGAGTGGCCGTCGGGACTTGTAGGGACATTTGGGGGTACTGCGACGAGCGATGCTTGTAGATATTGTTGTTTAGTGCTAGAACACTAGATACTGTGAATAATAAATATTGCATATAAAGAGTTTCTTTCATTGGTCTTGGGCATTTCACTACGACGACGACAACCCGACTTTGTGTGACAGAGCCAACCAGCTAGGGGCATCACAGTACTATGCACATACAACTGTCATAGTTGTCATGGCCTGGATAAACATGCTTCTCTATGAAAGAGGCTCGTTTTTGAAGTTGTTTTCTATGTGTGCAACATCTTGTAGAACCTGGCACTTGCGATATGCGTGTGGCTTAGACACAGCTTCATCACTGATCACGATTTTGTGCATTAAGGACAGAAAAAACAGTTTTATGATGGCACTAAAATGGAGAAATCTCTGCTGCAGTGTTCAAGCTGGTGTACGTCTTGTACTCAGAGCAGACACAGCAGGCAGAAAGCGCACACGCCTGGGTGCCATGGCAATGATACTATTTTTTTCTTTCCTTCTTTCTCCTACAGTTTCACACCGTCTAGCCCGCAGAGATGCTGTCAGCAGCGGTAACTCAGACACAGGTCAATAAGACTCAGTCTGGTCGATTTTGCCGCAATGATTGCCACGCCATGTGTCCTCACCTAAAGAGTATCTTACACCATGCACTAGACGCGCCCCGCTGTGGCGGCCGGACATCACGATCCCTTTGAGTCGGGACGGCCTACAGAGGATCACGCATGAAGACGCCTGCCCACCTGTGGCGACTGCCCCTGCAGGATCCTGTCCAGCTCAGCAAAAAGGGCCTCCTGCTCCTCCTCTGGCAGGCTGAGGCCCGTGTCCTCGTCCATGGGTAGGCAGCAGCCGCTGTCCGTGCGCTCTCTCGACGCCCCACGCTTGTCCGCATCCCCGAGGATGTGCTCTCCTGCGGCGGGAAAGGCAAGGGAGCGAGGAAAACGTCAGCTTCTACTGCGCAGACGTGCACGAGCGGGGTATACCATGTCACCTTCAAAAATTGCTATTCACTCTTTTACGCTCCCGAATTAGAAGACACCTGAAGCTAACGACCTACGTTTTTGTGCGAAACCGAAAGCGGCCGCAAAGAGGCTTCTGAGATTGTCTATTTATGGTCCCAGCGCAATGTACAGCATCTAAGCATTCTACAAAACTTACAATAAGATTGATGCATCCAACTTTCCTATATAAAAACAAGATAAAAGACTGCGACATTTACCCATATTTTTTTTTGCGATTCGGAGCGGAAATCAGGGAGCACTGTCAGGCGTGCGACGGCCAACGGCAAGCGGTCGCCGCCCACGTGGCGAGGGGGCCGAGTAACGGGAGATGGTCTTTCGAATGCACGTGATTCGCGCGCTAGAAGCAATCACTCGTAATCAACTGCTGGACGTCCGACGGTGCCTCCAAATTTCGGCATCAAATCGCAAAAGGAAAAAAAGCGGGCATGTCACAATCTTTGATCACGTTTCTAATGGGAAAATTGAATGCAAATCAAACTAATCTTGGGTCTCTTAGAATGCTCATATAATGCACATCATTCTTTCAGCGTGCGCTTAAAAGAATATTAAGAATGTGAGGAGCGACCATTTCTCATCATTAGTTACAAATCCTGCAAGAACCTCGGCCTAGACTTGGAAATATATACACAGACCGGAAGTGGAGTGAGGCTACCCAACGGAGGGCGCCAGCCACTGTGCTACCTCATCGTAGGCAAGCTTGTGGCGCAGCTAGTCAAACTGGGACACAAATATGAGAACCAGCCTTTAGAATGTGTCGTTCAGACATTGTACAATCCATATTCTTTTACAGAGACGCGACAGAAGACTCCAGAATCACTCCGGTTATTTCAGTCACCATTACTTTGCACTCAAATTTTCTTCAAATTGACATAATTTCAATATCCCAGTGGTCATGAAAATTACCGTTGTACGAATACAATTATTTTTACTAATACAGTGATGGAAGTGCCATTTGGCCTTTTGGAGCAGGCCTTGTAGCAGGCAAAATGTTGCTTTGGAGCAGGTAGTGGCTCTTTTGGAGCAGGGTCCGGCATATGTTGGCATATTACTTGAAAATGAAATAATGCTGCATTGCTATATAAAGCCCATCTCTATTATTGGAACACAGCGCCTGTCGCCTTTTTAAGGCAGGATATATAAAATTCAACAAAGTAAACACAAAAAAAAAAAAAAATTTAAATAAAGTTTATTTGCTTGTCAGATAAAAAAAATACAATTAAATATGTCACACTGAGTTCTGATGGTACAGGATATTTAGTTTTACCAGCCTGCACTCCTTTTAAGGTATCTGCAGCAGCACCTAACGACCCTCACTGTTGTGGAATGTTTTAGTTCAGATTAGAGTTGTCTTTCGGGCAGCAGCTTCAAATATTGCGGTATCTGATATTCGGTTCAAAAATTCCGATTCATTTTCGATGTGGTGGCGAAGTCACAATCGGATCACGGCGAGTTAACCTGTTGAGTGCGCTCCTTGGCATGCACCAACGCGCTGCAGAGAAGCAACACCCGCAGAGAAGAAACCGCAGTCGCGCGAGTCGCACAGTGCTTTGTGCTCCGAAAAGGACGGTGAGGCTTTACCAGCACTGCATCCAGAGTTTGGTGCAACTCAACTATACTTCGTTTCAGCTTCGGTGCGAGCGCAGCCGAAGCTACAAGCGCACGCATGGAGCCCGTAACAGTGCCCACACTGCACGAGCCCACGCGCGAGTCAGGAATGCACAGAGCATTGGGCTCGCGCTAGCTTTGACTTCGCTGAAAACTAGCGCACGGGAACAGGGCGGGCCAAATTGAAAACATCCACAAGCTCGGCTTCTTTTTTTTTTAAATAGGCTGTTCAGTAGGATGGTTCTTCGCTTAGCCTCTGCGGCTTTCGTCTCAAATGTTGCTAACGTTCCTTTCAATGATGATGATGATGCGCCCTCGCAGTTTCGGTTTGCATAACAGTTGCGGCGCGGAAAATACCGCGGTACCGCCACGTGCTCTGATAAGACTTCAAGTTTTATTTTTTATTGCTACATCTCATCTCGGCGCAGGCATGGTGCAATTCTTCGGTAAAATGACAATGTGGCGCTACATGTAGCAGGATTGCGTCCTTGGCGCAATTTGGCGCAATTGGCGCAGCACTTCCATCACTGCTAATAGAGATCAACCTCGGATGTTTTATTAACCCTGCGTTGAAAGCAGTTATAAAATCATAGCTTCATATTACATGTTCCTTAGCCTATCTTAGAAAAGAAAAAAATGGTAATAAATTATTAAAAACCAAGCCTTGAGAAACTAAAAAGGCTCCACGTGCCTTAAATCATACAAATGAGTTGGTTAAACCAGACATCAAGTTTCACATTTTGAGCGCTGTTTATATGTATCTGTCTCATGAGCACATCAAAGGTGAAAAATTTGCAACTAAGTGAACACAGAGAGTTCTAGAATAATGTACGCTATTTTAGAGCATATTAGAGCTAGCGTTGACGCACGCTATGCAAGGGAGTTTTAGAATAGCATTTCCCCGCCACGACGCAAAACCTAGGAATCTCACGTTTGCAAAGCCTCCGAGATACAGTAACCAGTTTTACTGCACACACAAAATTCGGTAACTTGAGATAGAAACAAGTTCTTGGTCCAGAATGATATTACAGATTTGTTAAAACATCAGATTGTGATGCAAACGGTCGACCAGTCGTATCTGCCCGCATTGCCTCAACACGAGGCCTTGCCGAGAAGCGCCTCGCAAGCAGCGAGTTTCCAGCGATCGTTGCCCACTTTGCTCCATCTTCCAGACTATTTGTGACGTGCACATCCCACGGGAATTTTATGTTGTCCTGCATTCAAAATCACAGTCACGAGGATACCATTAACATTGCACTCGCAACAGCCACCAAGGTGGCGCCGGCCCTCGGAGTCGGCCTTTTCTAACTGTGCTCGTCTCGGCCTTAGCCAACTTCTCGCGCATCTCGGATCCTCCTTGGAGCAATGGAAATACTTTTTCCGTACACACATAATTTCCAAAAACAGCAGAAACACGCAAAGCGCCAGATGCGGTTAGCGAACGACGCACACGCAGAGGCATCGCTATTTTTTTGCGTACGAAAAGGTTTTGCGTATGCCATTCTAAAACTCCCTACTGTGCCAGAAGACTGAGAAGAGGAAAGCCAAAGGAGGGAAAAGAGATGCCCCATAGAATGTGTTTCAAATAAAATATTTGATACCATAAAAAAAAAAAACAGTGCAGACAAGATAAAGCCAAATTACTGCCCTAAATGAAAGCACAAAACACAAATGTTGTTTTGTGCTGCAAGTCATTCCTTTCTCTCAACCCTCGACCTATGTAGCAAGCACGCTTTCCATTGCTATATAACAACACAGCGTGCAGTACGACACAATGGGTCTTCCCTCCCAAGAAAAGGAGACTCGTTCACGTAATTCCGAACCTACAGCCACTGCCAAGACGAGAGCAGCAGGGCGTCTCTATTGAATGTCCGGCTACAGCCCACGCTCATTGCCTTTCGCCACGCTTGTGCTGCACGTACGATGCAAGATATATATACATAGGTGTGGACACCATGCATGTCGCAGCTGCCAGATAAAGTACCCCTCCTAGTCTTGGCTGCAAGCAGCACCACCAGATGGCTCCTCGATATGTGACTAATGGCGGCCTGTTGCGGGCCTGGTTTCCCATGTTTCTCTATGGGAGAGGTGCTCATTTTTAACATTGGTTCTTGGGTGTGCCACATAATGAAGTAGTTGGCACTCGCGCTAAGTGTGCTACTTAGACACTGAGCCTACCGTAATGTCCCAAGGCCCCGCCCCCAAAAGATAACCCCCCCCCTATTTTTGCCTTGATCTGCTTTTTGTTTTTTTTAAACACCGAAAGATAGCTTTCTTCTGGTAATCGTAGTGTTTGGATCAATAATGGCCTCGGTGCAAATGCGACTAGTTAGCTATGGCGGGGTATAAGCAAACATTGTTGACTGGGAAGTACAGTTATCTTTGCCTTGCTGTCCCTCGCCACGACAACAAGCTTGGCAGGGACACAATCTAAAAACCACATTTTTTCAACTTTTCTCGATTGCACTCCCAAAGTTAGTCTACTCGTTTTCACCCAATTTTCTAGATTTTAGGTGGATTACCTCTCAAGATATTACGGTAAATTCATGCCTCAACATCGGCGATAGCAGTTTCACAAATGCGCTGAAGTGGAGAGATCTCTGGCGCGGTGTTTGAGCCAGAGTCCATGGAAGTCGCAGCAGATGCACCGAGCGGAGAAAATGCGTGCCCAGTTGCCATGGGCACGAGGCACTTTATTTTATGTCTTTTTTTCCTCAGGTGCACCGTCCGGACGGCGGAGGAGACGCTGTTGGCCAAGGATGCTCGGGCGCACCCCAATAAGGCATTATTTTGTCAATCGCATCGCAGCATTTGCCGTGCAGTGTTTTCACCTGTATACATTTTACGCCGTGGTCATGCGTGCATGCTTGAGGCCCCCGAGACACCGAAGCGTTATTTAAGCTTCGAGGCTTGCGCCGGAGGCAGGTCAACCGAAACTCCTCCCTGCCATTCTCGTCCTGCCAGTGAATATAGATGCAACATGTTTGCATAAATTTGGGGCCCACTCCTCTGCCCAATGCTTTGGTGCTGTGGAGCACTCCACAAGAAAATTAATAACGGCTCCCCACAGGCACCTAAAGTCAAGCAGTGCCCAGTATCCGATTTGACGTGCGGAGAATAGAGGCTCGCCCCCACGGCAGACGACCACTGACCTGTCTCAGAGTCAATGCTGTACTGGAAGCCTTCCCAAGGGTTTGAGTCGTCCGGCAGCTCAGAGAGCGAGTCGTTTTCCATTTTGGTAGGCACTTCGGTGCTCTGTCGAAGGGAGAAACCGAACGGAGGTTTTGTGGGAAAAGCAAGGATAATTCTGTCTGAGCACTATTGCACATAGCCCATTTATCTCTGCACTGAAAGTCGTTTTAAACAAACTAACACAAATTATTGTTCCTAGGTCTCCGTTTGTTTGTAGCTGTAGGATATATAAATTTCTAAAAAAAAGGTTTACATAAAAATTATGTTTTCATGCAACTTGAAACTTTCTGCACTGATAGTGGATTTCAAATTTACCATAGCTCAAGTGAAGTTCTCACAACCATTTAAAAATACACTTTGTTAATTTCTACTTTTAGTGTGGTTATCATGGCCAAAACAAAAACTAACTGCTATGATCTCTCCTCCTAAACCTTCCTTTATAAGACTGCAAAAGAGGCCAGACCACAAGCACGAGGTAAAAAGAATGCTATTTTCATCACCTTTTATATGTTTGCGAGGCTCCGGCTGTTCTCGAGACACAGTTACCAGATCTTGAAATTAAACATTAGGTCTCAAAATGTTCAAAACCTTATATTTCAGACCCTGGTTTGAAGTCTTACTTTAATTCTTATTACCCTATCACTTGTATGCTAAGTATCACTTCAACTATTTGTCTGCTGTTTATCAAAGGTCTTAGGGAGCAGCAAAAACTACCGTTCATTATGCAAGTTTCCTGCAATCAAAGCAAAGCATGTTAATGAGTGACAACCAATGAGGCACAATGATACATGTTCTAACAACTTCATGACCACCCTGAAACATGACCACCCAAAACAACAAGTATTAGCTACTACTAAAAATCATTCAAAGGACTTAGAACATTACTTATGTGCCACAGTGAAATGAGAAACTCAAGTGTCCCAAAAGACAACAACGGTATATATGGCAATACTCACTAATTGTCGTCAAAAGTAAGGCAATAAAATAAGCAATAAGCAATGATGCCTAAAAATATAATTTCCAAGTTATAATGTTACACATAAGCAAGGAAACATGGTGAGAACAGTGAAAGAAAAGGTGTGTGTGTGCACATTTAATTTCATGAAGTGGTTCATAGTTATGAGTAGGATCATTAGACCTAGCGACATTTCTGTACAAAGGTGCTGGCTACCTTAGAATAGGACTAAAAGGAGCTTCTAGGGGGTAAATAAAACTAAACCCATACCCCCCGTGATAAACCACCAGATCACGGGGACAACCTTGACTTGTTTTCACACAGGAAGAGTTGCCCCCCACTAACTCAAGCCAACAGCCTCTAGTTTGTTTGCCTGGATTTCTGGTTCTTGCCGCAATGCAGCGTGACTCTTGCGGCTCCTGGCAGACACCCAGTGGCTGCGCGACAAACTTGACAGGGGCCAAGACAAACTGTCGTCTGAAGAAACCTTGTTTTGCTGCTGTCGTAAGTCAACGGCATCGTGACAGTAGTTGTAAAAAAAAAAATTGGAATTCCAATAAAACGAGGGGAGGACAAAACACGGTTACATAGCCTTAAGAATGAAGAGAAGGGATGCAAATGGGGAGGTATTATATTGAAACTTTGACCCATTTTCATAAAAGATTTGGCGCCCTTCTTTGTTTCGGGAACCTCATTCTCCACCCATGAGCTCACATCATAGCTCAGGGACACGAGAGTCGGTGAAGCAACCATTTAACGGGAAAAATACCTCACTCGCTCCCTTTTCTCTACAGGCAGGCCACGTGACACGATACCACCGAAGAGAATGAGCACAACGTCGAGAACAGCCAGCAGCTTGCAAATGAAGGTGGGCGCGGTGGTCGAGCTCACCTCGAGTTGCTCCTTGATGGTTGCATCGCCGCTGTCGTTGCCCTCAAACCGGAAGTCGAAGACATCTCTCGGCACTCCCAGATCCTCATCTTGTTTCCAGAGGATCTCAATGAGATCCATGTCCTGCAAAGGAACAAAACGTCTCCTCAGACCTCCTCATTGACAACATCCAGAAAATTTATCTAGCCCACTCCAACTTATCTTCAAGAAAACAAAAAAAATGCACAGCCTTTGCAAATACTGGAATGCCTTTTGCTTCATAAAAAAGGCTACACTGCCCCAATTTAATAACTTATAAAGTATTACTGATTGAAAATTAAAAAAAAGCAGGGCTTCTGTACTCTGATATCTAGGTGTGCAGAGTGAATTGCATCACAGTCTAAAATTTCTATTTCAGTGAATTAAAAAAAATACTGAGACAAGTTTCAATTGTTTGCTTTCTTCATTCATGAACAAGAGGCAACCGCACAATATTATGCAGCTTCTTTCAAACCGGCCTCATCAAACAACAGAAAAGACAATGAAGAAAACAATACTAGACCTCCAGCAGTGTTGCTGCATTTATCAATTTCTTGTATCTTCATCATTCTTGCATGCTCAATATGCATGTTCATATTACTATTGGCCGACTAGCCCAAGTACACCAGAAAGGCATATCAAATGCTGGTGTAAGTAAATGTACAGATGCAAGTACTCCCAGGGGGGGGGGGGGGGGGGGGGTCAGCATATCATATGCTTGAGAACTCCCCCCCTCCCTTTTCCCCTGCCCTAAGTCTTTAAACATGCATAATTCAAGAGGGGGGGATCAGGACATCCGGACCCCCCTCTAAGTATGTCACTGTATGTGGTACACATGCAAACCACCAGAGTATGCATTTTTGTCACTTGTCGACCATATTGTACATCCATACTCTGTCACTGGTTGTGTACAGTGCAGGCAAAGGCAATGCCAGGCGAAGAGAAAGAGCAAGCACTAGGAAGGATGGACGGGAGAGGAGGGCAATGGAGGGTGAGGGGAGAAAGTGAGACCACTAGGAACAATAGATAGGAGAGGAGGTTTCTCTCCTTCTCCCCAGCCTTCCTAGTGCTTGCCCTTTCTCCCATCGCCTGGCTAGCAATCGCGTGTACTGCACGCAACTAGTGACAAAGAGTATAGGTATTTTTTCGTTTTCTAGATAACGCCCCCTCCTCCCCCCCTTTCATGCCCAAAACGGCTTTTGAGGATAATAAAAATAAGCTCCATTTCAGGAGTTCTGTGCAAACGTGAAGGAGGCACGGAAGTGAACGCAAGCTTTTGATAGTCCTCGCAGTGAGTGTGCGCCAAACAAAGCCAACACACATCTGCATTCTCGCATCTGCTTGCTCAAATGGCCCCTCCAGTTATTTTTCATATTTCCTGAAAACTTCAATTGCTGTTAGGGTGAAAATTAACTTCAATCGCTGTTGCAGCGTATAGGCTGCAAAATACAACTATTCTCGAAGGGGGGGAAAAAAATTAACGCGTTTAAAGGAATTTGTTGTCACATTGTAAAAAGCGTCACACTCACGTGATCAGCTCCATCGAATAACAAAAACAAAACTGCGCGCATCGCGGCAAACATGGCAGACGCTTTCGTCACGTGATATCCCCTTCGTGACCGAGTGCGGTTGCCTGACGCCATCAACAAAACGAGAATGTCGACGTCTGTGCTCCAAGCTTCAAAAAAAGAAAAAAAAAAAACTTTGACAACGACAAAAAAACAAAAAAAAACGGGACTTTGACCAGACGTTGCGACTGGTGCCAGTTTCGCGTGGCACCGTGGCCGCACTTCTCCCGGGGTAGGAGATGGTCACGTGATCTGTCACGTGAACCGAAGTTTGCAGCCAGCCAACAGTGGCAGTCGTCAAGACTGAGCTATGGCTGAGCAGCAGCAGGCGGCAGGTGCTCGGGTTAAGAGCGGAGTCCCTCTCAAGGTCGAGATGACGAGACAACGTCTGCTAAACGAGACATACCGTCTGCGACCCCGCCATCGGGCGCCGCAGCTCTGGCGACGCTATGGAGATCGATGCCGTCTGTTGCACAATTTTCTCCTTTTTTTTTTTTTTCTTTCTTGTTTAAAGAAACGAAAGAAGAGTGATTAGTAATGTGGAGCGTCGCAGCGAAGTATCCGCTATCGAGATCGAAGCCGTTTGTTTCACTACTTGCATTTCAGAGAGGGTTTGGTAGTGGTTCGTGGTTTGTGCTGGTACGATAGTCGTGCTTTACGTGGTAAGGGTGTAATTAATGGTCATCAATCCTACGAATGTGGCCTTACTAAGTACATCAAAAGGAAGATATACATCATATATTTCTTTTTTTTTTTTATACTTAAACTGCCGATGTCTGAAGATACAATTAGATAGCCACTAAAAAGGAAAATATTTTTTTTTTAACAGTTTGATTGGGACAGGGGTTTCAAAAAATAAATTTTACGCGAAAAATAAATTTAGAACAATATTGACAGCGCGAGATTTATTTCAAATTCGGCGCGCAAAGTCCATAACGTTAGGGAATGGTCATTCACTCTTTCCACCTCAACGTGATGGTCAAGCCAAATACTTTACCCCTCGTAAAGTGGTCAAGCCGATCCACCCCTCGTCCACGCGCCCGAAATGCCGAGAGAAAAGTGGAAAAGAGGTGTCTGCCGACTAAATTGCTAAATCGCATCTCGCGGCGTCAATAATGCTCTAACTTTTTTTTTTCTTGACACGCGTGTTCTAGATAGATTAAAAACAAAACAAAAAAAAACGAGTTCACTAAAATCGCAATAAGGAGTAGATGGGCTTCCATTTCGATTCCCTGTAGCTCGTCGTCGGTCTCGTCAAGAAAAACAAATGCTGTTCGAGAATATTGACACGGACCTTTTTAAAACAAAACGACATTTCAAATGAAATGGAAGGAATGCTGCAAGGATCGCGATCAAATGTATTGGGGGAAGGCCTGAGCTGCTTCTCCCTGAAACGGGAGAGAAACACGGGAAAAAATAGCAAGGTCGGAAGAGGCAGCCATAAAACTAACACAGAACTGTAAATCCCAACCACGTAGAAAAAAAAAAAATAAAATCGTGCTTGCGAAAGGAGGCTCGCACGTACCTTTCTGATATAAGAGCTCAGACACTGACGCGGGATCAACGCTTGTCGACACCATAGGCATTTCCCACGGCAGGACCAAGGCACTAGCACCGGCAAGAACGGTCACCGAGATGAGCGTCATGGCGCTCGAAAGCAATGTTTATTTCATTCATAAAACCTTTTGGGATGCAGATATGGTCTTATTAACATACGGGAACAATATGTCGCGAACATTTGGATCGTGTAAGGAGGCAAGCCCTCGGGAAATATACGCCCACATGTGCTTAGGGCTTGCGCATATTTATTTTATTTATTCAGAATACCCCCAGAAGGGCATCCACCAAGGCAGAACCATCGCTGGAAGACGAAGAGCGGTAGGATGACCCCATCCGACCTCTCCTTGACTTCGGTGACGTTCTGCCATTCTTGAGGCGCGAGTGCCACTCAAAACACCTCGCACATTTTACTGGTTTTTGACGTAAGCCTTCTAGATAATTTCAGAGGTCTCTGGTTTAGATTTGCCAAGCTTGGCGTAAAATTTAAGTTCGCTCTCGCTTTGGTTTGCAGTCTATGGAGAGATCGCCATTATGCCCGTGCATATGGTCAAAGAAACGCGTGTAGCGCAGCTCCGAATGTTCACAGAGGGACTCCCTCTGGTATAACGAGACACGGAGGTCCCTTCCTTGGACAGCTGCGCGCGTACCACTGTGCTGCCCTCTTTTTAAGCTACAAAATCAGTCCCAAAACTTTTTGATCACACCTCGTATGACTACCAAGAAAAAAAGAAAAAAAAAACGCGAAACCGACGAATAAGATAAAGTACAGATAGGTAAACTATAGAAAAAAAAGACATTCTCAGCGCATACGAGTTTAAGAAATTTTGTTAGATCATCTTCATCGCAGCCAGGGGCAGATTTAGGGAGGGGGGGGGGGGCGAGCGCCCCCCCCCCCCCCCCCCAAAGCTTCCCAAAGATCAACATTTTTTTTAATAAAATCATTGATATACACTCTTCAAAAGTTTAGTTTTTGGTGACGTAGCAAATATAGGGTCAACAAAATAGATCTGGGCAACGTTTCGACCGTAACGTCATATCTCAGCAGACTCCCCCTTCCCCCCCTTTTCCAGGCCTCACCCATAAATCCTCCCCTGATCGCAGCGCAGCTTGGTGGTACCAAAGAAATTACTCCAATAAGTAACAGAAAACTGTCGTCGAAAAGTCCGTCCATGTCTTTCAGGCTCGCATTTTGGTTTCTCCGTACCGTTTCGGTAAAAGCGATAAAAAAGATGAAAAGGGTCATGGTCTATTTATAAACACGAGGTGGTAGCCCACTAACCCATGCAGCCTAATTCACCGGTTAAAGAAAAAAAAAAAAAAAAAACACACACACACACACAGACCTTCCGCGAAACCGCCGCAACCGCTTCGCTCTCGATTCAACGGTCCTTGAGACCTGAACGACCCCAAAACGCCGAGCCCAGAAACCAGAGGGCGTTGATTGAGTAAGAGCAGCACGTGGCGGCGGCGGGTCGGCCGTTCCCGAATGCCACAAAGTCTCGGGGGCTTGACATGGCAGAGCAGCGGCCCCGGGGGGATCGAGCGGCCGTGGCAGAGCCAAGGCCCCGAGAGCTCACGCGGCCGGTCGCCCGTGCCGGGCACCCTTCCAAGCGGCGGTCGGGGGAGCCCAATCGCGGGCTCTCCGAGCAAAGCTAAATGCTCGCGCCGCAAAAAGCGACTTACTCAAGCAAAGAAACGCCGGTATAGTGAACTCCACGCAAACAACCTTTGCTTTTAGCGGCGGGGCCAAACCGCCCGCCGTCGGAGACAGCGGGCTCGAAATAAAACAACCAGGGCACCCCAAAATCGCCCGAAATGACGATAATTCCGGTCCCTCCCCTCTCTTCCTTCCTTTCTCCACGCCGAGCAGCAGAGCAGAGAGAGACTTTTAACAACCGATGGGTGCATGTGCCAACCGCGTTCCGAGAAGAAAACGAAATCGGGGACCCGGTATTATTTTTATACCGCGTGGATGTT